GGGCTTCACTTTATATTTCATGTACACTACGATTATATGTCATAAATTATCAGGAAAAAAAAAAGAAAAAAAAATTGTGTGATATTAACTCTTGATAAAAGTACGATAATCTTCTCAATTTTTGTATCATTTCTTTAAAACTGAACAAACAAAATATGTAGGCCTATATATTTATATACATTAAACAAAGATCCCTCTCATAATATACCTGACAGGCTAGTTTGACCCATACATTTCACATTGGCTAATGTATAGTTCACAATACTTTATAGCTTGTACTTTTCTTTTCCTCTTTCCCCATTTTATCTAATTATTTTTCCTTTCTTTTCCCCTCCCTCCTTTCCCTTCTCCTTTCCTCCTCTTCTCTCCTATCTCTTTCCTCTCTCTTTCATCTTCTTCTATTTTTTCTTTCCAAACTTCCACATTAAACCTGTCGTTTTCAATAGTATCCCCAAGTTGAAAGCACGTGAAATCTCCTCCATGCAGCCTTCATTAATGGGGAGGTAGATGGGGATAAAAATAAATTCATCTCTTCCATACCAATAGATCGCTGACAGAGCAATAATAAACAAGCCCTGCCAAACAAACCATCAGCCTGAAGAATCTTTTATTTTAAAAAAAGAACTCAATGTTGTCACTTCATCTCCGATCTTCAACATGCAAGGCATTATGGAGACGAAGTTGAACAAAATCAAACCTCGCCTTCCACATACCCAACAACGATGAGAAACCCGGGGCTTCACTTTATATTTCATGTACACTACGATTATATGTCATAAATTATCAGGAAAAAAAAAAGAAAAAAAATTTGTGTGATATTAACTCTTGATAAAAGTACGATAATCTTCTCAATTTTTGTATCATTTCTTTAAAACTGAACAAACAAAATATGTAGGCCTATATATTTATATACATTAAACAAAGATCCCTCTCATATACCTGACAGGCTAGTTTGACCCATACATTTCACATTGGCCAATGTATAGTCCACAATACTTTATAGCTTGTACTTTTCTTTTCTCAATTTCCTATGGAAAAGAGAAATCTTAATAACATATTAATTGGTGTAACATTCTTGATTACATAACTCATCAGCTATTACCACACTCTTTTTTTTGTTTACGAGAATGATATGAAAGGCATAAAGTAAATCTTGGAATATTATTCATCTTTGTCATATGAACCTATTTTACAGTAACAAAATGGTCTTTGACCTATTAAATGGCTGCACATTATGTTATTCTGTGTCCATGCCTGACAATCACTTTGAAGTTTATAAGTCAATCCTGGTTGCAGTTACTGTCTGAGTTAGGGTGAATCTCGCTGCTCATTCGTACAATTCTACACCATCATAATATGCTCTTGTAGGTAGCGCTTGCCTTTAGTATCTTATTAAACTCTTCTTTTGGCTGAAAAAAGTATTCACATTAACTTGCACATAATATAATCTACAACTGATTTCCAGTGAAAACAATACATGTAGCTCGCTTTTTGCTTCTCACACTGTAAAAAATACTTATCTGAAAACAGATCGTGGTAGGTCTCCTTGTAATCACAAACAAAATCATGAATTAGGGGTAGCTGGAAATTCAGGTTCTCCATAAGTCGTATGACATCTTGACTTGAGGCATGTCGTAGTAGAAACGAGAGCGTTACACTTGTTACATAAAACTTTTTCCTTCCTGGCGTAATGAAGTGCTCGATTAGAGCTGTAGAGTTCAAACGAATATTGTCGAAACGTGATTTCCATTGAAAACAATACATGTAGCTCTCTTTTTGCTTCACACACTGTAGCACATCTATGAAGTAAAGGATACTTATCTGAAAACAGATCGTGGTAGGTCTCCTTGTAATCACAAACAAAATCATGAATTAGGGGTAGCTGGAAATTCAGGTTCTCCATAAGTCGTATGACATCTTGACTTGAGGCCTGTCGTAGTAGAAACGAGAGCTTTACACTTGTTACATAAAACTTTTTCCTTCCTGGCGTAATGAAGTGCTCGATTAGAGCTGTAGAGTTCAAACGAAGATTGTCGAAACGTGATTTCCATTGAAAACAATACATGTTGTAGCTCTCTTTTTGCTTCACACACTGTAGCACATACTTGTTACATAAAACTTTTTCCTTCCTGGCGTAATGAAGTGCTCGATTTAGAGCTGTAGGATTCAAATGAAGATTGTCGAAACGTGACTCAATATCCCTTCTCCTCCGCTTCCATTCGGGAGCACTTGCCTCTCCATAGGCCGTATGACATCTTGACTAGAGGCATGTCGTAGCCAAATCGAGAGCATTGTCAGATGACACTTGTTGCATACAACTTTTTCCTTCCTGACATATTGATATGCTCCTATTTTGTAATGATTTAGAACTGTAGAACTCATACGAAGATTGTCGAAACTTGACTCAATATCCCCTCTCCTCAGCTTCCATTCGGGAGCACTTGCCTCTAATTTCTTATTAATCTCTTCTTTTGGCTGAACAGAGAATATTCCCTTTAGTCCCTGCTTTAACATTGCACTGTATCTTCCCATGTGTAAAGAGTAACTCGACGAACGAAACCGACTCGATCTGCAGATTTCCCGCATGAACTGAACTTTAGGTGACGCACAACTCAACAACAGTAGTCCGAAAACTTGCATTTAATTAATCTTCAGCTGATTTCCATTAAAGACGGTGCTCGACTATCCGAAATCAAATCGTGGTAGGTCTTCTACTTGTTATCACAAACAAAATCATGGCTTTGGGGTAGCTGTAAATTCAGTTCTCCATAGGCCGTATGACATCTTGACCCTCCTCTCGCAAACCTTGGATGAATCTTTGGTGGGCTGCCACTGGCAGCCACACCTTGTTTATGAATAGTTTGCTTGGTTCAGACTTTGAGAAGTACGCAAGTTTGCCTGCTTTTCTTGCCGCAAAAAGAGCTGGCATCTGCTTTTGCCTCAAATTCCTCATTCTCAATGGGATATCTTCCCGTATCGAAAGCCTTGTCCCTTTCAGGTTTCTCGCATTCTTCATAATGGTGTCCCTGTCCCTGTATCGAAAGAAGCGCGCCTTAATGGGGCGTGGCATGGTTTTCGTCATGATCCTATGCACCCTCTGATATTCTACGGCATCGGCCTCTTCTTCTGACATCTTCAAATTATTAATGTAGAAATCCTTCATAACTTGTTTGATGTCTTCTCCTTCCTTCTCTGGTAGTCCCATGAAAATAAGGTTCTCTCTTGCCACGTACACGGCAAGTTTGTCAATTTCCATTTGAAGAGCCGCTTCATTTTCCATTGCTTTCGCTTCCATCATCCTCATTTTCTTCTTAATCTCATCCAACTCCTTACTTTGAAAATCAATTGCTTCCTTTAAATCTTTGAATTGAGATTCAATATGCTTCATTTGCTCTTTAATGTTAGCCTCCAGGGAAGAGAATCTTTCTCCTAATCTCTCTGTCTGCTGCTCCAGCAGCCGTCGGAGAGTCGGAAGCAGGTTTGTATCAGGGCTTGGGGGGCTCGAACCGGCATCAGCTCTCGGTCTCTTCGTAGATCCTTTTCCTGTATTACGTAAGTTGCTGGCCATATTTTCTATCACGCGTTCCAATGGGATTCGGGAGAGGCTCAAAAAACTCGTGTCTACTCTACGAACATCACAAACACACATTTTTTTTCCTCCATATATCTTCTAAATCGTATTTATTTAAAAATTCCTTAATCAAATCAATAACCCGAGATTTCACCGGTGTTTTTGACCCCACATAATCTAATTTTCCATCCAATATACTATTGAAATCACCTCCTAATAAAACTAAATAGTCCCGATCACACTGATCAAAAATACTTTCATCTAACTTCTTCAAAAATTCAATTTGTAAAGTTTCTTTATCTCTCGTTGGAAAATAAACATTAACCAATAGCATTTTAACCCTTTGTATTTCACCTTTAAAAATAATGTATCTCCCCTCTTCATCTACTTTAATTTTTTTTTCTTCAAAATCTAAATGATTAGAAAATAAAATAAGAACCCCTCTACTATGGTTAGACCCATGACTAAAAAACATTGGCCCTCCCCAATCTTGTTTCCACCGCTCTTCTATCTCTACTGTACTATATGTTTCTTGTAAGAAAATTATACTATTCTTTTTAGTTTTGCACCATTCAAAAATATTCACTCTTTTTAACCTATCTCTTATTCCTCTAACATTTAATGTCATGAAAGATAATTTCACTGCCATGTTATTTTATGTGTAATTGTATCCAAAACCTTACATCGATAAACTCCAAAGAAACTTCCACACAATCTATTTCCACCGTGAGCAAATGTATAGAAAAAACTATCTGCAGCCAAACATATATGCATACTTATCGTCGAATAATATAAAAAATGCAAGCAGAATCCACCCCGTACCACACAACCCAACGCATTCATACACACAAGCATATTCACTACACACACAACACCCCCACACAAAACAACCAAAATCTGCTCTTCGGTGTACGTAAACATCCGAGAGCAAGAGCCTCCCCCTTTCCCTGTCAATTTAACTAGACCAATGACAGAATAAACCAATGAACATTTCTTCTTGCACAAGTCGATGAGAAATACGTTGTATTGTTATATAACCGTAATCTAATTTAAAAAAAATAAAAAAATAAAAATACAAAGAGCTTTTATCCCTTAACAAATGCCTTGAATTGTATTACGGAACCCGCTCGTCATAACTAAGTTAAATGATTTTCCTAAAATGCATTACAGTGAATTGACCGGCCCGCGTACCTAATTACAATACGCACCTTCTAATTAAAAATAAAAACACGATCCTTAAAAATAAAAACACGATCCTTAAAAATAAAAACACGATCCTTAAAAATAAAAACACGATCCCAATACACAGACACACAGTTACACACACACACACACACACGCCGCATTCATTGTGCATACGAGCCGGTCATTTTGCATTGATCTATTTCACGTGACTTCGATCTTCCGTGTAAATTTTAGTTTCTTATTTTTCACCGGCCGTGGCCATTTAGAATAGATCACTGAACTAGGCTAGGCGACGCGACGAAAGGATTTTCACGGGTCTCCTTTCTTACGTTCAGCCAAGTAAGAAAGTATGCCATGGATGTATAACTTGGATATATATTTCTGGAGGTGTGGAAAGCCCTTCAGCGGGGAATGTCAGGAAAATGCAGTAGGAAAATTACTAAATTCCTACTCTGAAAAACCCAAATTTTGCCGGGTCGTTTATACAGATAGAGCAGAAGCCGGACCCACCATCACCGGTGCACTTCGGCCCTGAGCTTCCGGGTAGCACTTGCTGGCAATCTGGTAGTAGTGCTAGCTGGAGAGAGGAGTTATGGCTGAAGCTGAAGCGAGTGCAACCGACGGCGAGGAGGATGGAAAGTTACGCGATTCATCTGAAAAGTTACGGGATTCATCTGAAAATGATGGTGAGATTTAAAAGCACGAATTATTACATTTGCTTGTACATATTGTAGGGCATGTCTATTGTCATGAATTTATGAAAACATGTTTGTTATTTTCATTTTTCACATGAATAATATTCTATGCAGCTGTGTCATTTTGACATTGCAAAACAAAGATTCACATGTCTGCGTTCTCCTTAATTTTACATGAAGTAATTCAGTACATTTTTATGTGACAGATCGAGGCTTGTGAAGAGATTTCTGATTTTGAACTTTTCTTGATATTGTGCATGGAGTAGTCTAGACTCACTACACTAGTCTATAATGCCCATGGAGATGAACTTGTTGTTGTTGCGTGTTTTTTTAATATAAGATCTGCGCTTTTTTTGCATATTCACAGGGGTTCAGACAAGGTCTGGACAAAGTGGTCATAGAATCTATTTAGAACTCTACTTGTTGTAAATGTTATGCAAATGAGTTGTAATTGGAAGAAAAGTGGGAAAGTGTGAACCTACTTTGATGATGTGACTGTGAGTGAGGGTCATCATCTTCTTCTTCTTCTTGGTCTCCCTCTGCTTTTTGCTAGAAATCAGCAACAGAATGCTGCGTGTATGTCCATAAGCAGGTTGATTAGTCATAAAGAGATGAGATACGGTTTACATGAATCTTGTATAAAAGACTTGTATTCAGTTCATACATGTAATACAGTATATTTGAGAAGGGAGGAGAAGAAAGCGAGGTACATGTAATATCATCTTTGTGACAGAGTCAGAGATGTGATTACAAAAATAAAAGCAAAAGACAAAGAAGACACAAAGAAGAAAAGAAGAAAATAAAAAGAAGACAACTAAATATGAGAAACACACAGTGAAGATAGTCAGGCATGGTTGCCCGATAGGATACTACATGTACATTTACAATGTGTACTGTACATGTACGGACTGTACACATTTAATTGAGTATTGTCCCCTTCATTTTTAATCAGTGCAATTATAGCAACGACAATTTGAGAGTGAGTCTGGCACTGTTAAAGAAGAATGAGAGAGAGAGAGAGAGGGGGGGGGGGGGGGGGGAAGGGAAGGGTAGAGTACACATCATGTACATACTGTATACAGTATGTAGGAGAGAGTGAAGATGGAAAATAAATGTTTTCAAAAAATTGCATTTGATTAACTATGTACATGTGTAGGTATCTTCAAGACTGTCACTATGAACACGGCGGACAAAGAAAGTGTAGAACAGGTGTCACATGCAATTATTCACCTGTTCTACATATTTTTACATAATAGAAGTGAAGGGATGTTCCTTTGTCTACCACAGCAATTGTTGAGGGTAGATTGATGAACTGTATATTTTGTCCTCTTTCTTTGTCCGTCATATTCATAGTGTGTAGGCCTTGTGAACAAGTTGGAAATGTTTACAAAGACATGAACTACATGGATGTACATGTACACCATGTATACATGTACATGTATATGTTCATGTTCATCTTAGAATACATTGCCTGTTACATTCAAAATAAATACTATTTGCCAGTAGTTGTAGGAAATCAGTCAGTCATCAGTATCACCTTGCTTCAAATCTTACTAATTATGTGTACAGGTGTACGTGTATAGTCAGTAGAATATGGAAATATTTAATGTACATGTAAGATATTCAGATTAGAAAATAAATGAACTATTTAAAAAAAATTATTATGAGTACAATATCCAATGTTATCTGTTATGAGTGATTTATCAGTTTTAGATATAAATAATCATCACTACATGTACCTGTACATTACACAAATGTAATAATGTTTAATTAATGAAGCATGATATTGAACTCAAAGAGTTGAATCATTTCAAACTACAGAATATTTAGATTATACATTTGTAATGAATCATTTTCACATTTTATTACAAATACAGCACAGAAAAAAAATGTATGAGCATAGGGCACGATGAGCTATTTAGCACTGTACATGTACAGTGTACATGTGTACTGTAGCTTCAAAACAGCTCTGGTGTTTCCAAACCAATACATTAGATAAAAGTCACTGCAATTGTCTTTGTTCTCAAGCAAATCCAAAAAGAGCACCTGTTATTCTGATAATAATTACAAAATCTTACCCAGAAAAAGAGTCTTACAGTAATTTTGCCTCATTTCTGAATTATTAGCAGAGTAATGGTAAATAAAAACTATAAATAATATTTCTGGTAACTTATAGTGGATGTACATGTACAATGTAACATACTCTTGATTGTATTAAAGGGCTATGACTAGTCAAGTGCATTGCTTTCAAAAAGAGAAATACATATGTATACCGTACAGTACATGTACATGTACATGTATGTAGTTGATGGCATCACAAAGACAAAGACAATTCATGCTACATTTCAATTGAGCATGCAAAATACACATGAAAATTGTGATTGGGCTAGTTGGTCTGGTACACAACCCAAAATGAAACCTTAGAAACATCATGGCCATAGTCATGTATGTTTACATGTATTGTACATGTACATACACTCATACGTACAGGTGTATATTGTGAAGTGAGATAGGGGGCAGGGGACTTCAAATCTACAAAACTTGTGGTCTAGGACTACTTTTTGTTTGATTGCATAGATCTGTCAAATCTGTATTCAGTAGAATGATGTACATGTACATGTACAGTACATGTACATTTAAATGCTGTTTGAAATATTAAATAAAAATATTGATTTCACTTTTTCACAACCCTATTAACAACAACAAAATTAAAAAGAAATTATCAAGAGGGGCAGTACATATAAATATAATTGTTCAGTAACTAAGAAATTTCAGGGACTGGCCGCAAGGGTTCATTACTGTTGACCTGCAATATATAAAACCAGTGCAGAAATATGTAAAAATTAAATGCAGACACGTGTGATGATATTGAGAGAGAAATACAAAGCCTTGCAATTACTACTGTACGCAATATTTGATATTAAAGAGGAAACAAGTTGTCATACATAAAGCCCTGAAGTGGCAGAACTCAAGCGTATTACGCTCTTCACTCTAATTGAGCACCCCTGTGCCCATACATTGATTTTGAAGTTTGCCCGGTGTGTTGTAGCTTGTCAATGGATAACCAGATTTGGGGTTATTGAGTCCCTAATAACCCTGCAAAAACACAGCAACACAGTGCGCTGGAGTGTGTGTAGTATAAAGCCCACAGGACTGCTCTGTGTACAGGGGTACTACTGTAGGCTGTACACACGGAGCATAGCAATGGGAAAGCTAGTGAGAGAGAATTAGTCTTGCATGGTCAACATTCAGACCTTATTTCTCCCTTATAACTCAATCACTTTACTCATTAATACAATGTAGAAATGTAACAAGTTGAAATGACATTTTGTTCAACTCTTTATTTTTTTGATACTATCATGCGTTTAATAGTTGCTAGCCTTCTTTTTACTTTGTGCAGATCAGTACACAAAGAACAATAAGGGCATGAGGCCAAGGATATGAAAAAGTGATTTCTTGGAAAGACACACAGTCAATAGCCTTGCCCCTGATGATGGTTTACCGGTACTGAGAATACCAGGGCCTGTGGTGCGCCCGCCTTTCATACATGTACTGTACATGTAAGGCTGCCCTTTCTATTTGCCTAAGATTTAGTACTAATATTGTACATGCACATTATGTATTTTTCTATGCATTTTGTGTATATTGTACATGTACATGTACATGTGTCATTATTCACCATATTGTGCAGAGTGGAATATACACACCTCTACATGTACATTTGTACCTCTCAACATGTACATTGTACAGTGTGTACAACATGTACATTACATGTACATGCTCATTTGATGTACATGTAGATGTGTATAATTTGTGTTGTTTTGTTGTTGAAATACCTGTTGTGTAAAATGTACTGTACTGTCAGATTGTGTCAGGACGTATCGAACTGACATTACCGGTACACTGTCTCAAAACGATCCAGGATTAGAACCCCTTCCCATACAATGAATGTAAAGCAGACCATCTGCTAAATCTTCCCAATGGCCTGCATTCTACATTCATGTGTACATTGTACATGTAGGTCCAAGAACATGTAAATACATGTAGTACATGTACATTACATGTACAGTAGGCCTACCAATGTATAATGCTGTTGATGTTCATCTGTACTTTATACATTGAGTCAGGACATACTGTATGGAACTGACATTTACTGGTACATGTTCATGTGCACATGGAAATTCATGTAAAGAACGATCATGTTTGTATATACATGTACATGTACATGTAAATGGTAGAACCTTGCAATGAGCAATGTTTATTGTGATACATAAGAAATTGTGCTCGGCCTTCTTTTCAAACCTGGCAAATGTACATTTAGGGACATACTGTACATACTGTACATGTCATTGCCAGAGACACCAAGTTCAAAGATCAGCAATGTTCAGAATAATACAAGTAAGATGTACACTTATTTTTTTGTGATGTACATTGTAGCCTACTGCAGGTCTCTACAAATTTATATACCTGTAAATTCAGAATTTTTGTGAAGACTGATGGCCTACATGTATGTAGGGTAAAATTTAAGGTTTTGTATTGTGTATACAGTACTTGTGTAATTTGTATATACATCACAATCATGTAGACTGACATTACTTGTAGAACCAAAGTGTGTGAATCCTTGTTGTTGTTTATAGCATCTGGGTTTTATCATCAAGAGAAGTGAGATTTCCTTGTTGGTTCTTGTTTTCTTTCGTGGAGCTCTTTCGGGTGTGACTGAAGGAGTGAAGACATGATCTGCTTGACTGCATTTTATCAAAGTCCCTGGTTTCACTGCACAGTGCATTATGTTTGCATAGAGTCTCCAATACAAGACTATCGCTCCCTGACCTGGGATTGCATCAAAACAGAGGGGGATGGTGTAATCCCTTGACTGGACAAAACAACCAAGGGACGGGCGCTGCTGGGATAAGAGACACGTGTACTTCAATGTACAAGTAGGCCCCATGTGTCTGGACACATGTAGAGGGTCCCTGAATGCACAATTGATT